TGTTATTTCGGATCTGTGGAGGCTGCTGTAGAAAGAAGTTTTACATTCACCAGAACCAGAGTAAATGACGTGCTCTCTCTTAGCTGTTCACGCGTGCGCAGTTCTGTTGCAGAGCGCCGTACACTTGTTTTAGCCACATTGATCTTGTCGATACCGACGCTTCAATAAAAGTGTGACTCGACAATTCTTGATGAGGAAATGCTAGTCAGCAACTCACGCTTAGCTCCTCCCGCACCGGATGCGTGTCAAAAAAGAAGTTTGTCACATCGCGACTTCTAGTCGAAAGAAAAGCAGGAATTTTCATAAATTCTTGCATTGTCAAGGATGGCCCGGCAAATTCCGGCCGGCGATTGATTAATTTGTTCTATCCCATTCTTACTAAGAACTGTTTACACGTTTAAAACACTCATTATGCGCATTTGGGTCCGTTGAGTTAAACATACAAGCGGTAGTAATTTATAGCATGTGTATAAGTTTTTGGGACGCTCAAGTTTCACCGACTTATTAGATTTAAAACATCTATCACGAGGGGGTCTCGCACGCTTCTCGTCGACTGGGTGAATAAGCAGGGATTTAACTCAAAGGACTTCGGAAGCCTGCCACCGCTTCTTCCTAGTTATTTTGAGGGAATGATTGTTTACTGGTTTACAAAATTCAAAAAAAGTAATTAACCTGGAAGTAATAAGGAACCAGCTTAGAACAAATTGGAACCAACAGATTACACGGAGTCGCTTTCACTGAAGTGTTTTCTACACACGCAAGAGGTTATCGAATTTTTGTTTCCTATTTTCAGGTTGACGTGGCATTCCTTACTCAGTTTTCTTTTATCCGAATCATAACAAAAATACACCCTATTCGCCGTGATAGATGTAGTGGGGTAAAGCGCTGAATATTCTACTTCCATTATCCAGCTTTTTTTTTACTGGGGTAGACAACAGCACACAACCACATCCGAGCGCTTCGACACCTCAGCGCAAAACGTTCTTGTTAGCACGACTACGCGTGCTACAGTTTCAAGCTTTGGTAGAATTGCATACTGAAAGTATCACTTCACCAGATAAACACAACGTGTTAAACAGGCTTTGCCGCGCGTTGCACAAACAGCGCATGAAGCGAGCTGACGAGCCGAGGGATCCAAGATCTGCGCGGTCTGACCCTGTCTGTCCTACCCATGACGTCACAAACGATGATGATGATAAGTAGAAGAGCGCCTCCTGTGGTTCGCGCACGCCGCCAATACAGTAAAGTATAAAGTGCTCAGCCGTTTCCTCCTCCCTTCTACACGTTTCACACACTGCACCATCTTGATATTGAGCCATGTCATCAACTCCTAGATTATCCCTGCCGTAGTGCTAAGTTTATAAGTCCCCTACAACTGTCCAGCTAGGGCAAAGATGGTGTACGAGAGCCGTGTCAGCGTTTGGGTGGAACTGGTACTCCAACTGAATGAACATGAGCCCCAGCAGAGCGCTCACAAAGCACGTGTTCACTCTGAGCCTTGCGCTGGTTTAGGTATCCAGCACCGTGGCCTTGCTATACACTCTCAAGAAAAAAGGGTGTCAAAAGGTGTATTCTTACACCCTTTGTCTTATATAATACACCCCCAAACTTCAATTCGACATACAGCGCCCTACAGTCGAACAGACGGGCCAAAATTTTAGGAGGGGCTTAATAGCCGTGTGGTACAACTTATTAAAATAGCTAATGTACGTTTTACTGAACACGAAAAAAATAATCCGGGTTTTCTTGGCCCTACTGTAAAAACTCAGTGTTTTCTCTATGTCGTCTTTAATACGTACTTTAGCTATTTAAAATGCTGTACCACACGGCTATCAAGCCCCTCGTAAAATTTCGGGCCCTCTGTTCGACTGTAGGGCACTGTACGTCGATTTGAAATTCTGGGGTGTATTAATGGCACAAAGGGTGTAAGAATACACCTTTTGACACCCTTTTTTCTTAAGAGTGTAGAGGTGTTGGCTCTGTTCATCGCACTTTTCAACCCTCTCGTCCTGGTCTCTAGCAACAATGAGCTCTCTAGAATTGTCATATACATTTTTAGCAATATTCATCTCGAATAATCACGTGCCTACAAGGTTGATTTAGTCTGCTTACCCGCCAATCATCCTTCGATTTTGCTGCTTTCACTCTCTTCTTAACTGGTCCAGAAGGGACACCACCTTGTGGCAGTCACTCTAAGTCTAGTGACCACGGGATCTCGCCATTGCGATGCAAATTTAAAGAAGTAGTACTTAATCAATATCTGACACCACTGCTTCCCCGAGCATTGCCCAAATAACTATTTGGGAACTAAGAAAGCTTAGGGTCTCATGAAGAGTAGATTACGTTTTAATAAAAAAAAAAAAAGTGTAACCGTTGTGCTTGTACAAGTTCAGGATCAGGCAGCCGAGAAAGCTATTCGAGCTTTGTTGTTCACCTAACACCACCTGTGCACGTGGGTCTTTTTACTCCATCTCAACCTCCCCCTGCCGATTTCCACCCCACCCCACCCACTCCTGCCCATTTCACTGCATCCCCCCCCCCCCCTCCCCCGGGGCTCTGATGGCTAATACTTCATACAATAAATACATTTTATCTCTCGCTTATTCGCAGTGTAGCGGCAAGTATTTGTTCTGAAAGTAAAGGCAAACACCCGCAATATCAGAGTAGGACAGACGCACAGATGTTAACACACATTCCCGCTGCCTGCCATTCTGATTATGCTTAGGCAGGACTGTGTGACGTTTTAGACTCCATACGTGTTGTACCGGAACTTATCCTAGTACCTTATAAGGCTTTCCTACATATCGCTTTAAGATATTCTCCCTTCATACATTTAAATGCTAAAATAGCCCGGTTTCAACTGGTTAGCGCCCTTGGGGCTCAAATAACACGGACTGTTTATTAACTTACTCAGTTTTAGAAAAAAACCTTTGATTGAAACTATTTTAACAAGGAAGCAGTATAGTCGGTGCATAAATTTTTGTTCTGAAAGCTGCAGGTTTTTAAGAATAAGAAAAATCAGAATTCAGTACGATTCAGGACAATGTCCATACAATAGTTTTATATTGACCCCGAGCGGGACCGTTTGGAGCGCTGCGATCGTTCGACCGTGACGTAGAATGGGGGATCACGTGATAAGGCCAGCTATTCCGCCTTGCTTTGGTCGGGGTCTTCGGAAACCGTTCGCTCGATACTTTCGCTTTCTTTTCTGTATTTGAAGCCTGATCAGTATTCGCGTGAGTCGGCTTCTGCAACTATCGATCTCAGGGAGCAATGGTAAATTACTGTTCGGCGCCGCAATGCCGCAAACGAACCAAACATCAGCTTCAAAATTTACCCCAAGGAGAAGCATTCCAATATGATTAATAAGTTGTGAATAGTCTCACCCTGCATAGCAGTACCTTTCTCATACAGCTTCAATGTCATTTGAATGGGGTTAAAAGTGAATGTACAAGTTGGCGGCACGCAGTGCAAGTAGAGCCGAGTGCTAATCGACTTGAAAGAGTAATTTACAGAGGGTAATAAAACAAAATTTTACTGATTATTTTAATGCAAACATCACGCAGAGCTTAGTGGTATTTAAACAACCAGCCGCTGCATAAATGTGAGAATGTTATGTGGCTCCATTCATTTTACTTTAAAGGTTGCTGATACAAGTAACTGCACTCATATTAGCAAGTAATATTTTTCTTCTTGTAACCCATCTGCTCCTACAACTCTAATACACCTAGCTACAAGAATATTTGCATAATATTTTTTACGGAAGATATAAGAACAGCAATGATGTACACGAACAACTGTCATTGGCCTTTGGATGATCTAATATTAGTTTCTGAAATTAAATGTTATCAAAAAGCTTTAATATTCGTCGCTCAAATATTCCGACATCGCAGAAAAGTTACAAAACCTGTGCTTGAAAAACGTTAAACATATTCAAATGCACCGTATCGTATCGATTTTGCGACTGGCGACTTGGGAAGCGAGCACATTACCACTGAGCCACGAGAACTTTTTTCTTCTTTATTCCTGAGCCACGAGAACAACGAGAGACGACCGATTATACTTGGGAAAAGGCGCCGCACTTCAACGTTCATCGCGAACCGCGATCCTTTAGTTGTTTCGCTTCCGGCTCTGGCCGCAAGCTCCTCTATCTATTTCACAGCACGCCGGCCGGTGGGTGCATACAACCGAACCAAGTAACGATACACAGCATGTTCCTTCACCCATGCTTTGCAGCAGCACGATGTGTCACCGACGTTTCTTCCATTCAGTGTTATCTCCAGCTCATGCGGGCACGAAGTGAGAGCCTATGTTTGGAGAACGAGTCCAATAAACGTGTAGCAATCCGTATCCAGCCTCTTGATACTACAGGAGAACACGTGTCCCGCTTTATAAACTCTTTCGCCCTCGAGCAACAGCCGTGATGTTTCGTGGGCCTTGTTTACGAACGCATAGATGCTGCTTACAGACAGGACAACTGAAAAGGAATACACAGTTGTAACAAAGTGCCCGGTCGGAAAAAAATTTAAAAAGAATTCGCCTACCCTCAACGGTAGGTTTCACTTCGTAAGCGTCCATTGCGGTGCGCGAGACAGCCGCCGAAAACGACAAGTTGACTCGTACCTTCCACGCCGCCGCGCTTCCGTGCAGCGACCGTTTCCCTGCTCGCCTGCAACCGGCTCCCCGGAAGCATTCGTAAGGTAGACGATTTAGGAACTTGACTGGGTCGAGTAGTGAAACGAAACATTGGTTTAAAGGAAGCCTGAAACACCCGTATTAAAAAAAGGGAAGACCGAGACGCTCCACTCTTGACGCAGAGTGCAGCAAACGGTCACGTAATCCCCCATCCTACCTCACGACGATAAGCCCGTCAGGTGGCGCCACGCATTGTTCTCGGGGTTAATACTATCAGCGTTATTTTCAATAAAATCAAGTTAAAATTTATAGCAATGCTAAGTGAACTAGGACTAATGAAAATGCGTGTATTTTCTACCTTGCAGGTTGTCGGTCAACGAGCAAACTCGACCCTTCCATGGTTGTACGGCGAGAGCTCTACAACAACCTATGGTGGTACAGAAAATGAATGTTTTATTTCACTGTACGCACAAGTAACCTCGCAAATAAAAACCAGAAGTAAAGCACCTTTACTTTCCTTTTATTCAAGTCAAACTCCTGGTCGTAGTTTGGTTTCTACATACCTGTAGGCACCCGTACCATAGAAAGGTGATCACCCCGCTCTATAATAGCATTAACAGATCTCGAATAAATAACTATAGTATAGGACTATAGTGTAGGACTCTGTCATGATCACTAAGATGGAGGCTAGGTTCCCTCTAAATGAGGGAACACGCTTGCTCTTCTTTTTAGGTAGGGATTCCCTCAGCACCGGAAGAAATATTTCTTCAGCTATTACTTCAGGAGGGAAATCAGCACTTCTAATTATTCACGGGCCCCGATTTCTTGCATAAATTCAACGCGGAAATCAATCGTCGAAAAACACATGAAAAATAAAAAAAGGCAGATCGTTCCGCAAGCCCACCCGTCTTAAATACTGCCGCAATTTATTATTCACAATGGTAAGATCCGTTAATTGCAAACATGAAGTCGGAGGGATTTCGTGCGTGACTAATATAGTTGGAATGTTCAGTGTATTGATTAAATGTTAGACGTGAAATAATGTGCAGGACAGCACAAACAACACAGAATTTTGCTACCTATCTCGGCTGCCCACACAAGCAGATTCCATAAAACTGGTCGTCCTAATACTTGTCATTTAGCTATGAATAAAAACAGCGATTGGATTTCCATGGTAACAGCATCCCGTTCTGTACAGTCACACAGAAATGAGCAATATAATTTAACATCAATAACTCGTACCTGGCAATCGAGTTTAAAATGTGAAACTTTTTACAAGATCGTCACGAGCTATAGAAGTCGCTTCAGCCTGCCAGCCTTTGTAACCTCAGTCCACTGGAGGAAACGCGAAAGGCGCCAAGTATTCATGAATCAATGTACATCAGTACTCAGTGGCACACAACACTGCGTAAAAATGTGATTCAACATCGCGCCGATGCTGTGTGCGCGCAATACCTAAGAACGCAGGTAAAGCCAAAAAAGAAAGACAAGACAGCAGGAATATATGTTTTATCACGATTTTATGCACGAAACAAAGGTCAGCACGAATGTTTATACAACCGAAGTTGGTCTGCCAAAGATAGGGTGACTGACCCACGCTTCCGTCAATACTAGCCAGCATGATTAAAAATCAAAAGAGCAATGATGCTATGGATTGAGCTAGTCTCACTTGATGCTGCTTTTTGAACAAAATATGTATGCTATGCTACACAGGCATTAGAATCACTAATATTGAAAGAGTTTATTGTCAAGCCAAAGGGCCGTCGGACACATTTTGCTAAAACGAACAGCATATTCCAGCTTGTTGAGATAACTTGTGGGGTGCGTCGATGCGTACCCCCCACCCGCAAGATGGAAAATCCAACTTGGACACAGAGCAACAGAGACTTTTACTCATCAAGCCCAGCAATCAACTGCCGGGCGACCGGCGCCGTGAGCCACCCACAATCTTTCTCACCCTCCGCCCCACGTTGTCATGGGTTTTTGTGGTGCTGGGATGGTGGAGGGGGATGATGGCAGCTTCATATGTTTTTTCCGTCGTCCTCATCGCTGTGAATAGCGATGTCCGCGGGATATTGCGGGAGGGGGGGGGGGATGAATTGATTGATTGATTAGGAAATTTTTGTCACAACACCGACGTGGTCATTCTGCATCAACTTAACTATTTGGGCAGTTCACGGAAGAAGATAGTGTTAATAAATGTAGAACCAAATTTACCGGGATCCAAAAACTGCCTAACGAGGAATCTACTTAGCGATGCTTAGCATGTTTTTTCCCAATGATAGATCAAGGAGTAACAAAATAGTGTTACTACCTTTAGGTAGTAACATTGTTTTGGCACTCATATCCATACTCTAGTCCCCTGTCCACTCGCTGCAAACGGCGGTTTTGATATCCAGTCACAATAAGGGCCATTAGGCTAAAGGACGTGCAGTTGACCATATGGTACAGGGTTGATAGACTGTATTGCTTCACTGTGACGGTATTTCTTGCTACTGATAAGGGATGATTATGATCGATGAGACTTGAGTTAGTGACGGATATGACTCTGGACCATCTCTTTGCTTCAAGAGCAAAGATGTTCCCCCGGAACACAAGAACCTCGCCGTAACAGATAGTATGAACATCTCATGGTCTCATTACACATGATCAGACCCCAAGCTTTTCCGTTCCCTCACTCACCGCAGACAATCCAATTGTTGTTCTCGACTACTTCCTGAACCTTTAGACGTTCTTCTTCCTCTCTCTCGGTTGAAGAGATTTTATACTGGCTGAAAGTGACTTCATTGTACCTTTGGGGAGGCTTTTGACCAGTTTTGCGAGCTTCGCTGCTCTGGAAGGGACCAAGAGCTTGAAATTCTCCATCCTTGCTGTCTCGATTCCTTTAGGCCCCCATTATATTTTGGAACACACGAGAAATACTCCCGTGCAGATCAGACTGTTGTTTTGGATAGTCATCAGGCGTGGTAGGCTATTTGCAAAGAATTTAGGTATGCGGACATAGGGTTGTTTGCCTCCCCTCGTTGGTGATTATACCACCTAGCGCAGTCGATGCGATTTGCAATCGTCTCTGTGGAAAAGTCATTACATCGTTGACCCGGAGTATTGTCTAGTATTTTTTTGGTGACTTAGGTTAGATCGTCCGCCATGGTTAGGCCCGAGGACAAAAACATATAACTTCTTGATGAGATGTTCCGTGGATACAAAGTACACTCGTAGTTTCCAGGAAATCAGCGAGAAAAATCTAATTTCCTTGACTTCTCTCTTCATTTCAGTCCTAGCTAGATTTTCTGTGTGTAGTCCGTTGTCATGGACCTCTTAGAGACGACTCCTGATGTCAATTTGCTCAGTATCCAAAATAGATTTAAGGACTACCTTAGACGGGATCTCCTTCTTCGAATGAGTTCTCATGAGTTCTCACACTTCATAACAAGTCATGAGGTGACTTGTTACTGTACATCACGGCGGGGTCGATCTTTTGAGGAAGAGTGTAAGAGGGGTGGATGGGAAGTACCATCGATCTCCATACGCTTTTATTTCTGATGGTGTGGACCAGGTCTGATTAATGACATAATGACGAAGCAGGTTATTAGAGTAGGCTGCATTTTATGTCAACGAATAATGCTTTTGCTGATGAAACCATGCATTGGCCCTCAAAAGTTGGCCGACAGTATTCTCAAATAAATAAAATTTGATATCATGAAGGTCAGGTCGCAAGATAGAGCGCTGTGGTAACTCTCGTCAATCTGCTTGTCTGAGTGATCTTGTTCATAAAGTCACATTAATCCTTTTTGTAATCCAATAAAGGATGTCTCCAGTACCTGGACGATAGTAAAGTAAGACCTGTCAATGAAACTCCTTAGGCTGAATGACCTCGAAAAATCAAGACAAGTTGACAACAGTTCGGTTAATGAGACAACTTGACTGCTCGGATGATATCGAACTGGGAAAACTCGGGGATTAAAGGAAAATTGACACAGTTCTCTATTAAGGTAGAAACAATTAAATCGTCTTCATTTGGCCTTCAGCGTCACGAATATAGTGATCGTTTCTTAATTAGGCTAGTAGAAGGAAAGCCAAACAAGCTTAAACCGCGACAACGCTTGCTGTTGTTGCTGCAGTCAACAACGAAACAGCGCTAGAGCCTGTCGGAGAGCTTCGAAACGCGCGACCACCGCTGCCTCCTGCAGCCACGAGCCGGACGTACCACGCCACCAAAAATGGCGGACTCCTGTCTGCTGCTGGCGCGCATGCGACATGGAAACCCCGGAAAAGGCCCATTCTTTCCCTATCCATTCGTCCATTCATGTCCGGAAAACTCAGTGCCCCCTCCAAATCCGTAGTCATCCCCGAAAGAGGGGGGGACGAAGCCCCGTGCACCTTAAAATTACATGTTCTATAGTTTCCCTTTCGCGGTTGCATACGTAACACAGAGTGTCTACTTCCTGAAATTTAGCCCTATACGTTTTCGTTCGCAGCACCTCCGTTCTAGCCTCAAACAACAAAGAGCTCCCCACTGAATTATCATACAGCTGTTCCTTCTTTATTTCTTGTTTTTGTGCCCTGTATATTGCTAAAGCTGATTTCCCCTGCATTCTCTCTTCCCACAATTTCCCCTCTGTTTTTTTACTCCCTTTTCTGCAGATATGCTCTGATCGGCTCCATCTCGTTAAATGCATTTAAATCTCAGCTTGCGGGTTCGGTTTGTCCACTTGGTGTTTAGACTTTTCATATATAAATACTTGTACACTTTCGCTGCCCATCGTGTATCGTCAATTTCAGCTAGTCTTTGTTCAAATTTTACTTTACTGATCGCTTCTCTACTCTCGAAAGATGCCCAACCCATATCCCCCTGTACTCCCTCATTTGGTGTATTCCCATGTGCCCCCAACGGCAACCTACCCACACTCCTTTGCTGTATCTCTGAACCTGTTTGAATTTCTGACCTCATACACAATACCGCATTCCCAAATGACAGTCGTGGCACCATGACTCCCTTCCATACACCCTTAACAACTTCATATCTATTATAGTTCTATAGTGCCCTGCGTTTCATGATAGCCGAATCTCGTTTCCCCTTCTTTATTACAATATCTTCATGGTCTTTTAGATACAGTCTTCCTTCACTTAACCATACTCCCAGATATGTGTACTTTTCTACGTGTTCTATTAATGTGTCCTGCATCTCCAGGGGCTCCCCCTTCTCGTCGTTGAAAACTATTATACCAGACTTGTCCCTACTATATTTTAGTCCTAAATTGTCTCCTTCCCTGCTGCAAATTTTAATCAGTTCCTGTATTGTCTCACGACTTTCTGATACGAGTACAATGTCGTCTGCACACATTAACCCTGGCAATACTTGATTTACTTCATGTCCTTCCTCCAAGTAAGTCAGATCAAAACCTAGGTTGCACCGTTCTAAACTTTTTTCCATCTCCCTGAGCAGGGATGGGCAAAATACATGCAAATATGTATCGAAATACAAATACGAAATACTTCG